TTTTAAAATAGGCCCAGTAGTTTTTGAGTATTTCAGTACATACAAGTAATACAAAAATGTAAATCTTTCCTCATTATAATAGATGATTACTAGTAGGTTTTTAACTTAGTTTTTTTTTTGCTTCGTAAACGAAATGTCTTCACCCGTTTTTCTTTTTTTTTACTGTAGGTATATTGTTAATTCGCTAGTCAACAAATCTTTAGCTGTCAAATAGCGTTGACGTGAGCGTTGTGACACCGGTAGCAAGTGTAACGATTGGCTTGGGCTTTTCAATTTCCTACAACAGTCAGGGAAATAGTCGTTAAATTTTTTCTGCAAACATTTTTCCTATTTCGCTGAAAATGTCGAAAATGTAACTTGTAACTTGTTATTTACTCAAATTTAATTTTCATATAAGAAACTCGCGGAGTTAAGTCTAATGTTTGAAAGATTAATAGTCGCTAAGGAAGAACTTGAGTGTATATTTCGTATAAGAATCTACAAAAAGGCATTGCTTACGGGACGAATAAACGACTGTGTGTACGGCAATAAGTGTTGGTTGCCTGGTGTAGCTCGGGATTTTAGTCCGATTTTTTTTCGGATAAAGTCGCTTTATATTGTTGAAATTAAAAAAGGCACTTGATATTCCTAATATCATGTAGGTTAAATCAGACAAAACCAGGTGTACATGTAATTACTTCTCGCAATAAATGCTTGAAGAGAACAACATCGCAAACGATTCCCGAAAATTTCCGTGTCCCCCTCGAGATGACTGCAATTAATCAACCAAATAGCCCGCTTTTATTCTTAATACAGATAGAATTATTATCTACAGAAACATTTTAAGTACATTGAATAATCCAAAGATAAATGTAAACCAATGTAAAAATTTAAGGGTATTTTAATTTTTCGTTGTCTTATACTAACTACTACTTAGTGGGTGTGACTGAAATTTATTTAAATTTATTGTTTCAGATGTTCTTACACGATCTACTCAAAAGAAACGGAGATTAGAAAATATTTTTCTTTAAAAATGTAAGTATTTTATTACTAGGTGAGACTGGCAAATTAATTAAAAAGACCTTAATAAGCTATGTATATGTTGTATTTGTATAAGTACAAAACACATTTCTCTGGATTTTTCGTCATCAACACACATACAAACTGACAACTTATATTCAGTCATTTAATCCACTTTGACTCAAACAAAGGCCTTCTACATCTATATAGTACGAGTATTATTCTCCATATACCTTTATTTCTTACTCTCTATATAATACATTTTACAAGAATATAAAAATAAAATAAAACATATTACATAAAAAATAGATTACCACCGGCTGCAGAATCCGATGACTCAAGCAACCAGTGGTCAGGGCTGCAGAGACAGGAAGCTCCTCACTAGTCGTGCGGTTTCTAAAATAATCGCCTTTTGAATCGGGCCCTTAATCCAACTGTCTAGCGAGAGCTTCTTGAGGTGTTGGTCGAAGCTCTTCGCTATCAGCCCGTGTACCGAAACGACTATCGGAATAATGGTAGTCGATTTCATACGCCACATGGCGGTAATCTCGTGAGCCAAATCCAAATATTTTAATAGTTTTTCATTTTCGGCTTTCACGAGATTCTCGTCATGTGGGATAGTGAGATCGACTGACATTACACAACTCTCAGACCGATCTATTATTACTATATCAGGTCTATTGGCAATAATAGTCCTGTCCGTAATAATAGATCGGTCCCAGTAGATCGTGATACGGCTATTTTCCAGAACTCGTGTAGGCTGATATTGGTAATATGGTACCTCACATTATTCCACAAGAGCATATTTAAGGGCAAGTTGCTGATGGATAATCTTGGCCACTTGGTTATGTCTATGCAAAGTATGCACCGTCCGCAAGGCGAGAACAACCGGAAACGATATGTCTAATAGACTCACCGGGCCGACGACATGCCCGACAAATGTCAGTCGTACCATCCTTTAGGATATGTTCGAGTATTATTATTATTATCATCTGTGTTCTACATTAACTATAACTTATATAGTAAAAGATAATTTTGCTGTTATAACCATAAGTAGTATCCATCTGTGATTTTCAAACAATATGTATTCCAATTTGTATTCCCTTTTCTTTGTATTCTTGTCTTCTCAATGCAAGTACACAAGAGGGCTTTAAAAGCGAGCATATCATGAATTTTAACTTGTAAGTGAGCGCACAAATGAAACTACAAAACTGTAATCAGCTTTCAGTTCTTCAAAGGGGAAAGCCTCTTCAAAGTAATTATTATACAAGTTTTCCTCCTTTGTATCAATCTTGATACATAAAATAGAGAACTCTTCATATTCTAGAGCAAGACATTTATATATATTTTACTCAATAACGTATCAAGGAGATTTGAATATTTTAATGTAATGCACAGTATGTGAATATGAGATTTCATTCTTCTTTTAACTTTGTGATTTCACCTTTTAGACTTCTCTGTTAAAAGTCGAAAGAAACTGTCACTAAAAACGTCACAAAATAACATTAGTGACTTCTTTTATCACAGAGGAATAATAAAATACGAAGTTTCTACGAAAAAGCTGCTTTTATAACGTTACTTCCATTTGTTTTCCAAATTAAATTCGTATGTAAACAGTACGTAGAATAACCAAACGTTCATAAAATTCATTTATAAAGACAAAAGATGTGCGTTGTTCATTCTAAAATACTGGACTCGAGAATACAAACAAAAAATTTAAAACGAAGCTAATGGAATTGCACTCTGCGAATAGAACAGTTAAAGGGAAAAATTTCACTCAAATTTATTTACTCGTATTCCTTTTAATGCATGAAAGCAACGTCCCCTTTCATACAAACTCAATATCGCGTATTGTTTCAACAAAATTGAATTATAGAGAGTGGAACTGTGACTTCATCACAGAAAAGTCTGTAAAAACATGTTGCTATCTCTTTTATTTTCAAGAAAAACGAGCGAGACGAGACTATAGTCTTTGTTCATGTTTCGGTTAAATCCCACTGAAGTATTTGCACGTTTTAGTCAAATGCAATTACCGTAAAACTGTATTTACGTCGTGATTGATATTTCACAAAATGCAACCTGTAATATCCAATTTAGACTGTAACGGTAAATATAAATAATTCATCTAAAGCCTGCTATACACTGTTAGTTTTAACAGAACAGTCTTACGTCTGTAAGCAAAGCTGTAGTAGGAATAATGACTTATGTAATTTGGTTAACCAGTCGATTTTTCTAGTCTGAAAAAGTTACAGGTCGTTAAAAAATCACTAGCTTTCCGCAACTCTGTCTGCGTGGAACTAAAAAAACAAAAGTGAGTTGCCTATTTGTTCTTCCAGACTTCCTTGCGTCTATGCCAAATTTCATCGAGATCCGTTCAACCGTTTAAGCTACAAACTAACAAACATCCATCCATCTAAACTTTTGCATTTGTAATATTAGATAGACAAAATATCTCCATATCATAAAATTAGTTTAAACAGAGTAACAAAAGATGCAACACCCTGTAATTTGTAACCAAAATTGCAGTCAGGATAACAATGGATTGTTGCATCGACGCCGAGTAACCCGATATGATTCGAGAATGAAATTCGCTTGTTAAGGCTGTATTCTATTCTGATACTGGGAGCAGATTACTCGGGATATATGATGCCAAATTCAATTTTAAGTTAACGATGGTATTCCGATGCCAGATTTTTTTTATGTAAAATATTGCAGATTGTTATCGGAGTTTTGGTTTTCGCTATTCTTACCGTTATGTTTACACTGCCAAAATGCATGTCGTCTCTCTCATTCTTCATTGATAAAACAGAGAAAACAATATGTCTCTGTACTCTCACGGGTACGTAGGACGTACGGATGCATTGACATTTTGTATTGTTCGACGAACCCTGTAATAAATGCAATAACAGTTTGAACGTTGAATTTGCTTTAAAGATATTAAAACAGTTTACTTACTAAATGGATTCACGATTTAGATTTATATATTTATTTTTTCAAAAGTACCTTTACAAAATTAAGTTTTTCATTTGGAAAGCTTACAGGCTAACTAACTATGGAAGGTAGTAACACATTTGAAGTTTGTATTTATTGCACCACGAGCTTTATGACTAAAATTCATTTCAAACTTTGCTCGTCCCCATCAATCAAAACCCAATCTAAATTGAACAACATTCCCCGTTTGTTCGTTGCCCTTTTTTAAAATAAAACAATTTATGGCAATGGAAATAACATAAATATTACGGTCTGTTGTCTCTTTAAGGTTTTTATTTGGTTGTTTTGTATTCACCAGTAATAAATTAAATGGAAAAATACAGAGTTTGTTTACTATGTAAATGAAATTTTAATTACTTTGAATCGATAAGCATAAATTGAAAAGTAAAAACTTCATTCAAAACCAATTAAATAAATAAAAATCAACATTAAACTGTAATTCTAAACAATTCTAATTACAAATTAACGCAAAAGTAAAATTAAAATGGTGGTTGTAAACATAAGTAAAGAAGCATTTGATGATCAACAATAATTATCTTTTTTTTTAACAGATGTTTGGGCACACAAGTGGAAATGGATGAATGCTAATAAATAAAAGTAATACAAAGTTAAATAATATTTAACCAAGCAAGGCTTTCATTAAGCCACAACGCCATCTATCCAACGCCGTAGATATCTCTGACTAAACACTAAAAGCTTCGACAGCTTTGTAGGGTGGTGATACTGCCATCTAGCGTCACAATAATTAAAGTTAGGATTAGAATTTTAACAGAGATGGCACTCTTAGCTGAGATTTTTAATATCTATATGTTTTTTATCGAAGATTACTCCTGCCTATACTTATTAAATTTTAACGATAAACCTAGTATTACACTTCACAAAAACGTGAAAAAATTCACAAAAACTATACACAATGTTAACTGTACACTAAACTATTTTTATATAACTTTTAAATATCTATGTAGTTTGCTTTATTTTTACTAATTGTATTAATTTACTGATTGTTTCAGATGTTGAAAATGTTTGATGTGATATTCTGTGTCGGCATATTCCCGAGTTAGCGCCCCGCCCCCAATGCCCCGGCTTTCGTCATGCCTCAATCCCCTTCACCTCGGCTGCGTCATTACAGGTCCCAACAATATCCAAGCATGCTTACAATTTTATTTTCACATTATACCACCGTAAACCCCATTATTTTTTATTTACTTCTGCAAGCTTTTTATTCAGGCTAAGCATATTTGAAAACTCTATATACAAAGTGAAAAAATGTCACTTGTTTGTAACGAAGTTATATTCACGCCATCTATCGACAGTCGCTAGATTTTCAACAATACAGTCTGGCAAAAGTTGGCGACGAACAGAACTTTTGTTTGCAGAATTCCTATTTTTATTATGCAAATGAGTTTGAAGTATGGCTACTGCAAGATGAATTAATTTTGCTTTTTCTGGCTTAGCATTTTATTTTCATCTCATATTCAATTCAGTCAATAAACACACACAGAACATGTTTATATCACACACATTTATTGTTTCATTTTATTTGGACAGGAGGAAGGTAAGTTCACAAAGAATAGTTACATCATTGCACTTAAGTAGCACTTAGAACACTGACAGTTACTCAGTAGATGGTTTCAACAACATTATCGCAAAATAGAATCAAATAAGTTCTGAATTTAAATAGCATTAAAACAGTTATTGATAACTAGTATGTAAATACATCTGTATATTTTATCTGTATATTTAAAAACAGTCAAAGTTAACAATCTTTATGACTTGTATAGGTAACTTTTTAAACGATTCACAACTGTTTATATTGATTTATTGTTAGAAACAGTTGACAGTTGAAATAGGAGTAAAAATTGATCTCAATTCGAAAGAGAAAATGTCTTGTTATACTAGTAAAAAATATTTCCTAAGTTCAAGTCAAATCGATACGATGATATCACTGAACATATTATTTCTCTATGAATGAGCCTATTTGATTTCCATTTCAACAAATTTATTGATTTGTGTACAACCGAATCATTTCTAGACGTACGAAAGATTCGAAATCACTCATGTGTAAAGTGATATGCTTTATCCGTATGTCAACGTTACATTAAATAATCTGATACCATTTATGTCTACAAATGAATTCGAACAATGACAATTGTACAAAATACCAGTAGTTCAAAATTAAACAAAAGCATTAAAAGCTTAATAAACAGTTGAAAGTCCATTTAGGTATTTAAAAACATAGTAAATATTTGGCGTAGTATTGATTTCCTAAATTGGTAATATGATTCATGAGTATTCAATACTTGGAAATGTACCTATAGAATGATATTCGCGACGCGCCAGTCGTCTATTGGTAATATGATATATTAAGTAGACGAGAATGGGAGCGGTTATTACTTAATATCGAGCCACTAGTTCAGTTATCAGTTCGGTGATGCGAAAACAAGGGCGTGATATGCGGCTTTACGCTTTGAACACGAAACACTTCGCAGCCGACTGTCGACAACAGACATGTATCCTTACACGTACTTTCGAAACAATAAAGCGTGAGTTACTTAATATCAACTGTTAATTAGATATTTAACAAATAACAGTTACCCAGGAGACAGGCTTGAGTTCATGATGTTGCGCTGTCATGTTTAAATCTGCTTTTGTTTATTTGCCAGGACGATGACCGCAATATGTTTCGTATGCAACTTGCCGATTCTGTCCCATCAAGTGGGACTGGTGTGGGCCGGAGGAAACGGCTGGGACGAACTGACGCGCTCTACGCTAGAAGAATCCACTCTGAGGCAACGGCTGGGCAGCCGCAGGGACTCCGCCGCTCAAGTCTCCTGCCTGTCACCGCCAGAACCAGATGTCTCCGATCAACCACGAGGTACATGTCAGATACACTGCGATATTTTTGGAAAACCAAGAAATGTTTTCAAGTTATAAAAGTAAAATTGGTCTTCTAGGTGGACCCCGGCGTCGCCGGTCTTCGCTAGCTCAACTCACAGATATATTGCGCGAGTGGGGCGGCGGCGGCAGCCAGCCGCGCCGTCAGAGAGCACCTCTGTCTAGACGTGAAACCCTCGCAGATTTAGCGCGATCTCTGCCATGGGCCCGACATGAGCCTCCACCTCGACGCCGAAGAGACTCTTCGGCGGACTCTGGGATAAAATCCATGGCGTCGAAACGCCGTGATTCTAAAGCTACACCACAAGATTTTCGTGCAGATTTTCCACCATCATGGGAACGGAAAGACTCTACAACTATCGTACCTTCAAGAGATCGCCGCTTTAAGAGACGTAGCTCCGGCGATGAAAAGGACCGCAGAGATTCAGTAGATGGGCATCGTCACCATAGACGTGACTCTGTGGCGGTACCGCCGCCACGTATAATAGCAACTCATAAAAAGCGACGAGCCTCTCCTCCTACCCCCGCGCCGCCATCCTTCGTGGACGCATCCTCTGACCCTGGACCCTCAACGCACCTACCGTCAGTAACTATAGTCGCTGTTCATGAACCCAGTCGTTCGGACGGTGAATGCCAGCCGATGACAATGCCGACCATCATTACGTCCGCTGTAACACCATCGCCGACGTCACCGACAACACCGGCCGTCAGCGCTATGCAAACCTCTCAAGCTTCTCAGATTACGCCATCTACAAATCAAGGGACTCAGGCCACGCCCAGCGGAAAATCGCCTCCTAACATGGGGGGTCGAAGAGATTCGACAACGCAATGTGGACGAGCTCGTAGAGATTCTCGAGCGGCGGCAAGTCCAGAACGAAGACTGGGCCGTCTGCAGAGGCAGGCGACCGCTTTCGATGATCCTAGTGGTCCGCCGGGTACCAGACGTCGTGATTCAGGTCCTTCTTTGGGCCCCGATGACGAAGGACGCGCGAGAAGAGATTCTTTGAGCCCAGATTCGGCGGCACGCCCTCGTAGAGAACGCAATCAACTCAGCCCCGACCGGGCCGGGGGTGGTGAGCTGAGTCCGTCTGCGGCTCGCCGTCGTAGCCGCCTCCGGAGGCAGGCATCATGCGCCCGCATGGGCCGCGCACGCAGCCCTGAGTCCAGCTCGTGCTCAAGCCGAGACCCCAGCCCGTGCGCTCGCCCTCCAGAACGAACGATATTCCGAAGGCAATCGACTACGGAGGAAATATTAATAGCTCGCGGCTTCCGCCGGCAATCGACCACCGAAGAAATGATACGTTGCCGTAACTTCAGACGTCAAAGTTCTCAGAGCGACGACGCGTGCATGCGCGCTCGGGGCCGCCGCGACTCCTCCACGCAGATACTGGACGGCACCATCGGCACCATGACCGTCGAGACTACGAGTACGTTCTTCGATTCGAGTACACAGACAGGTCAGTACTTTACTATTAATTCTATTCACAATAGTTGATTAAAAATTGAATGCCAACAATAGTTCAAGTTTATGTTATCAAGATAAAACTAATATTAAAGTAGCGAACTTAAAATTTTAAATCGTGACTTATTCAAACGAAAGTTACACTATAACTAAAATTTGTAAGAGAAATAATTTTGAAAGTATAAGGAGAAGAGAGATATGTAATTATCATTATTTTTTGAAGCTAAGTATTATGGCAGAATAAAATCAAGGAGCATATTTTTGTTTTATAATAATACGAGTAAGTCAATGTTTGCTTGAAAGTTGATTTACAATTGAGACCATAACATGGCATCCTTATTTTTTACATTAATTAAACAAAGTCGTTATTACATTTTATATCACAAAAATATTTCCGTGTTAAAAATTAGCGGATTACGAAACTAGAAAACAATTACAAAAACCAGGTGTTAAAATGAGCAACATTGTAAACAATGGCTCTACGCTTAACTTTCGTAGAGCGCGAGCTTTACAAAAGCACAGAGCCTACAAGCTGGTAACAAAAGACACGCCACGTGCTCGCTCCCCGCCCCCTTTGAACAGCCAATCGATGCGCTCGTAGCTTCGGTGTCTCTTTCTCATGGTACCCAGAACGTGCTGTTTTATCGACAGAGACGGTTAAAGAACTTTTGGGTGACAGTGGCGCCCTCAGGGTGAGTTTGTACTGTCGGCATTCGCAAACGCGACCGCGCGGAGCTCCTATCGAGATGAGATGAACGAGCCCCGGCGCAGGCTCGACCGCCCGCGCCCTCATCTGTTGCCTTACGCTGCCATGTTTACTAAAACTAAACTGACGTGCCGTACACAACGAATAACCTCTAAAAATTCACATTGACAGCGAACGTGTATTAACAATAAAAAATCGCGAATAAATCGTCCCTCATTATTACAACGAATCGTCAATAAATGTTGTCCCAACGAACAGAAAGCCGCGCTTTTGTATTGTAATGACTTGTAAATTGTATTTTTGATGTAATTATTCCACCTTTTGGCTAAGTGGTGTCGTGAATCTTTGACGTTTCAGTGTTAAGGTGTGACATAAGAATAATATTGTTCTAAAATAGCGTAATAAATTTTTTAAATTATGTTAATTAAATGAAACACCAATTTAAAAATAATTATTGATATTCTGATGTAAAATTAATATTTTAATAGTAAATGGACATGAATTGTGAATAAACTAGACCAGTGGGACATGATGGTAAGTGAAAGTGAATGAGGATGAATGACAGACATTTATGAGTAGATTTATACGTTTTGTTTTGGTAGTTTTTTAAGAAAGAGTTAATTTGAAACGTTTATGTACATTTTCTTTAGAGGTTAACAAACGAACGAAATGTAAACATTATGTTTTAACAAATTAAACTTTATTTGCTTATATATTCAGTAATTTGAATATTCAAATAGCCTTTTTAAACAATACGTTCTATAAAATAATATTTAGATTTAAAATTATGATTGTACTGACGTTAATAGATATAAAAGAATCCCTTATCATTCATTTTATGCGATTTTTATGTTATGCAGATTACGGATCCCTAAAAAAAAACAATAAATGTAAGCAATAAAAATGAAATTCACGTTGTCGGGCCTCGTATCATTAATATTATATCGCCGACAATATTTCTCGCTATAAAACGGTAAAAATACCTATTTTCTACCAAATTTACTGCTACCGTTACGATCATATTAATTACGCCCTATTTTTCATTAAAGTACTTTTGCTTCAATAAAGAAATCACAGACCTAGAACTTTATACAAAAATATTATTAGCATAAAAATTCGTTAATAATGTAATAAC